AATTCCAATTATTCATCAATAAATAGGTTATAACTACCAAACAAGCGATGGCAGTCAACCCCTCCTTACTGTGTCGGTGATCAAGGTACGCCCGTTAATCACTGCTCTAATTGAGAAATAATCCTAGGTACGCCCATAGAATTTAATTCCCCAATTGCCTTACGTATTAGAGGAGCCCTATTCTAACCAAATAACGCACTACCAGGGTTATTTTAGATTAGCCCGCGTATTCCCCTGACACAAACCTAATCATGCCAGTTGCCACTATTTAAGAGCAGTTAAACAATTACGGATTTAATGCCCTAATTGACAATAGATTATCCAATCAACTAATTATCTGGATCCAAGACAATCAATTAATTAAATAACCATAAGCATAGCAACCAAGAAATATGCGGATACCAATAAATAAAAAGAAAAGATTAAATTAAAACGATCTCACAATTTTTAGGCAAACCAGAGCCTCAGTTATCCCTTGACTAGACAAAGGGATTTAGCTCATTGCTGATGAACAAAGCCCACAAGAAATTGTAAAGAGAGCCGCGGCCATTGTCATGGATATTTGGAGAATTCAATTCGCAAGAACTAAAGGGGAAGAAAAGTCAAAGCTATTCCTATTTGCTCCTGACATGCGCAGGGAAGTCCTAATCAAAAGCTTCAAAAGGAAAATCGCAAGCTAAGCTCCTCAGCAATCTTCATACGTAAGAAAGAAACTAGCTAACAAGAACTAAGAAAAAAGTCAACAACTGCGGCTAAGCTACAAGACGGAAAGCTCTCCAATGTGCGGCGGCTCCCCTTCCGGAGAGGAAGAAGAAGACCCCCACTTCAGCCCTTCGTTCCCCCTTTTAATGCTGCGCTCTGCGAATTACCAAAAAGGACTTGTATCTCCTTGTTCCAAAAATGCCCTGGATGCCTGCTACTTGAACTCTTTCCTGATAACTGTCAAATCGGCACTTATTATGGTATTTTCGTTCTACTCCCTGAAATATATGTAAAATACTAAAAGTGAGTAGAAACTAACAATTAATCCAGATTGGGTCAGGTAATAGGAGAAATTAATAATAAAATAAATGATAAAATCGCAACCTATCACCTCCTCAATCCTCTCCTCCAGCCCGTCTTGCTTTCTCCCCTCCTTCCCAACCCCAATCATCACCACCACCATTATCAACACCGTCTCCTTCCCCTTCCTTACCTCCTCCATCCCTCCCTTCCCTTTCGTCTATGCCATCACCGCCACCCCCTGCTGCCCCCCTCTATCTGTAAACTTATCATCCCCTCCTCCCCCACAGCACCTCCCTCTCCAGCTCTTTCACCCTCTCATCCTTTGCCAATTGCAGTCCCATCACCATCTACCTCAGTTTTTCCACCTCCTCCCGCTATAAAGTCACCGCTCACCAGCCCTACCTCTCCTGCATTACCTCCTCCACCACTACCTGCTTCTTCCCAAGCTCCTTCCTTGTTAAATCCCCTTCCACTTTCGGTGGTGTCTCGTCCTCCCATCACCACATCTCTTATTCCACCTTCTCCCCCTGCCTCTCAGAATAATACATCCCAAGCTTATGCTCCAACTAACTCAGTCTTACTAGCAATTGCCCTTGAGAAACCCACTGCAAGATCAACTACACCTGCTCGAAATATTACTGCAATTACAATATCCAGAAATGGTGGGGGCATAGGATTCGTGGGCTTTCTGGCAATTGGTCTTGTGGTGCTTGGTGTCTGGTTGCCACGAAAGCAAAAGAAAAGGGGGCCCCATTCAACACTAGGTATACAATGCCTTCTCCATATGCTTCCTCCCAAAATTCACGGGGAAAACTAGGGTTTTTTGTGACTGTAATTTTAGGGGGAAAGGTGAAAAGGGGTTCTTTTACTTTTAACCGGGAATAAAGTGTATTTTTCGATTTTGCCCTTAAAAAATAAGGCCACGTGAGAGAGGTGTGCTATTTTCAGTCGAAGAAATGAGCAAATATGAGCATTACGACCAAAATGGAAATTTTTTGTGAAAATGTTAAGGACCAATTTGGCAAATTTCCCTTAGCCTAAGTGTTTGCAAATGTTTTGACTGTTTAATACATGCATAAGTTTATAATATTTGTACTATATATAAAACCTGAGACTTTTTGATTGGGTTTAAAATACATGTTAATTTTATTAATATTATCTCTCCCACGGGATTAGATATTTCACTAATTCATTATTTTTACAGGAATTTTGATAATTGGTGGTTATAGTGGGGCTTAAAGCCAAAAGAAGGTTTAAGGAGATAATTACTGAAGATTTTTACTTGTGAGACGAGGGCGCGCCTAATTCCAGCCTCCAAGTCGAGCTTCTCCGGATTTAGTGCACATGAGAAACTTCCAAAAATGCAGCAAGGCTGATTTCCTAAAATGTTGGGATTGACTTCTTCAATTGGGAATCAATTAGTTGGCTACAAACTAGGAATCTAGTGGGGTCACTCTCAAGAAAAAAGAAAACTGAGGGAATTGATTGGGAATAGGACTTTTTTTTTAGGAATTTGATTGGTATTAGGAGACCAACCCATTTAGAAGTCAAACGAAGTGGAAATTCGGAGACATCAACTCATCATCTTTTTGCTGGAAACGAAAATTAGCAGAGTACTCTTGTCTCTTTTTTTTCTTTTTGTGGACCGAATTGGGAGAAAACAATTTGAAAGCTCTTCCCAATTATTTGCACGGCTTGTCCTCTATTAATGGAGAACTAATTTCGTACTTCTAGTCAAAGGGACAACTGAAGATTTGGTTCAACAATAACTGTAAGATCTAAATTATTTTGATTGCTTCTTTCATTCATTAATAGTTGTATGTTTCCTGCTTGTAGTGGCTATGACTATTGTTTATGATTGAATAGTTGCGCAATATTTAATTATTCACGTAGTCTATTTGCTAATTGGGGATAGTTGAATCCGTAATTATTTGATTACTCTCATCCCGGTAGCAACTGGTATAATTGGGTTTGTGTTGGGGAAACGTACAATCTAATTTAAATAAACCCTCATAGCGTGTTTATTGATTAGAGTAGGGTTTCTCTAATTTCTAATGCAATTAGGGAATTAAATCCTATGGTCGTACATAGGGTTATTTCTAGATTAGGGAAATAATCAATGGTCGTACATTGACTATCGAAGCAGTAAGGAGAAACTGACTGTTAGATCGTATCGGCATGTAAAAAACCTACTTATTAATGAATGTTGGAATTATAATTGCATCAATAATCAGTTACTTAAGCCATCTCTGAAGTTTACTCTTGGCTAGAGTTTTTTCAATTATTTCTCTCTCTTAGTTATTTTTCGCAGTTGATTAATATAGTTAACAATTCATTAGCATTTAATTCTCAAAATCCCCGTTTCATCTTGACTTGAAAAGAAACGAACTTACCCCAATCTCTGAGGATACGACCCTACTAACTCTATATATAAATTAAAGATTTTTTGTGAATAAATTCGGGTATATCGGATTTAACAAACTCTTCAGAACCAGGGTGAATCTAGTAACCCATTGCACATCTAGAGTCCCTGCTCCAATACTAGAATTAACACGACACTGCTTCTGTTGGCAATTAGGATTATTAATATTATTATTTCTCAGGCTCGACACCTGTCAATTTTTGGCGCCGTTGCCAGGGACTGGTCAGTGAATTATTTGTTTCTTTTTTAGTTCATTTTATTTTTGGTATTTTTACGAGTTTATGCCTCATTCTTCCCACACAGGTAAATTGATATACGACCCTAAAGTGGAGAAGACAGCACGTAGACAAAGACAAGAGACCAAGAAATGCAAGAAAGGACAGTCATCTACTGCAAGCGATTCAGAACAAAAAGAGTATATGATGATAAACAACAGGACACTAAGGGAGTTGGCTGCTCTTGACTTAACTCAGCAGCCACTTTGCATTACCTTCCCTAATCTGAATGAAAATACCTCTTTTGAGTTAAAATCTGGATTAATTCACCTCTTACCTTCTTTTCATGATCTTTCAGGAGAAGAGCCTCATAAGCATCTATAAGAATTTGAAGTAGTGTGCTCAAGTACGAAACCTCCCGGGGTGACTGAAGAGTAGATTAAACTGAGAGCATTTCATTTCTCTCTCAAGGACTCGGCCAAGGATTGGTTGTACTACCTACCGGCAGGTAGTATTACCACCTAGGTGCAACTGAAGAAGAAATTTTTGGAGAAGTACTTTCCTGCCTCCCGAACTGCTAGCTTGAGAAAAGAGATATGTGGCATTAAGTAGCAGCCAGGGGAGACCTTATATGAGTATTGGGAGCGGTTCAACAAATTATGCACTAGATGTCTCCAGCATCAGATAAGTGACCAGTTGTTAATTCAATATTTTGACGAGGGTCTTACTTTGTCTGACAGGAACATCATTGACGCCGCAAGTGGTGGGACACTGGTGAATAAAATTCCTGGAGAGGCATGGGAGTTGATTGAGGAAATGGCGCACAACTCACAATAATTCGTCCTTAGAGATAATGTCCCCACTCGTCAAGTGAATGAGGTGGAAAGTTCGTCTATTCAACAGCAGTTATCGGAGCTGACTTCAATTGTCCGACAATTGACTGTAGGAAATATACAACAAGTTAAGGTTTGTGGGATCTGTACCAACACGGGACATCCTACTGATATATGCCCAATGCTTCAAGATAAGAGTCCTGAACAAGTCAACATGGTTGGCAACGTGCCCGCGCCAAGGAGGCAATATGATCCATACTCCAACACCTACAACCCGGGATGAAGGGATCATCCGAACTTTAGCTACGGAGAGAACCGCCAGCAAAATTTTGGTCCGAATACGTTGCCAGGGTCCAGCATCAATATCAGCCGAAGGCCCATCCCGCATTCTCTAATGGAGAAAGCTCCTTGGAATATTTGGTCAAGAGTTTGGTCGAAAGTACCATCCAACTCTAGCAAAGTATTGCTCAATTCTAACAGGAGACAAGGTCCGGCATGAAAAATCTAGAAAATCGGGTAAGTCACATGGCAACTGCAATTAACCGTCTAGAGTCTCACGTTTTTGGGAAGTTGTCATCTCAACCTGAAACAAACGCAAAGAACATGAGTGTCATGACCTTGAGAAGCGGTAAAAAAGTTGAAGGGTCCCGGCCAGTAGTCCCTAAAGATGATAGTGAGGAGAAAATAGAAAAGGAGCTTGACCAAGAAGAAGGGGGAAATTCAAATCCCAAGATAATCTCTGGCTCTCTTATAAATCATAAGTCTCACACTCCACCTTTTCTTAGCAGGTTGGAAAAGCGAAGGAAACCAGAGAAGGAGAAAGAGATTCTGGAGATGTTCAAAAAAGTGGAGATAAACATCCCCCTGTTGGACGCAATCAAACAAGTACCAAGGTATGCAAGATTTCTGAATTGTACACCAATAAGAGGAGAGTAAGGGGTGATGAGAGAGTGGTAATGGGAGAGAACATATCAGCTGTACTTCAAAGGAAGCTCCCATCCAAGTGTGGGGATCCAAATATGTTCATGATCCCACGTAAGATAGGAAATACTACAGCTAAGAAAGCAATGCTAGATCTGGGAACATCTATAAATGTAATGCCTAAAATTATTATGCTTCCTTAAATCTTAGGCCATTAAAAGAAACTAGCATCATAATTCAATTAGCGGACCTTACTTATGCTTATCCGAATAGGCTAGTTGAAGATGTCTTAGTTCAGGTAAATGAATTAGTGTTTCCAACTGATTTCTATGTCCTAGATATGGGAGATGAAAAGTTTGTGAATCCGTCACCTATCCTATTAGGTAGACTTTTCTTGAATACTGCTGGGACTAAAATTAATGTAAATAAGGATACTTTGTCAATGGAGTTTGATGGGGAGATTGTGCATTTCAATATTTTTGACGCCATAAGATACCCTGAAAAATCTAACTCAGTTTTTGCTTTGAGTGTCATTGACCCACTTGTGTAGAGAGTTTTTGAGTTTGATGGTAAGAATGAATTGGAGATAGTTTTGACTAAGTATCTTGAGTTGGGAGCAACTCCAGATGTAGAACTGAGTGATGAACTACGACATATGGTTGAAGCATTACACTCACTTCCATCTATTTCCCCAAGGTATGAGTTTGCTTCCCTTTTTACACCAGAAACTCATCAAAAGTTGTTGCCTTCTATTGTACAGGCACCAGAGTTGGAGTTCAAACCCCTCCCGCGCCATTTGAAGTACGTGTTCTTAGGAGATAAGGAGATGCTGCCAATCATTATCTCTGCATACTTGTCACCTGGTCAGGAGGATAAACTGGTTCGACTTCTTCGAGATCATAAGGAGGCGATCGGATGGACCCTTGCAGACATTAAAGGAATCAGCCCCTACTTATGCATGTACTTGATTAGGCTAGAAGAGGATGCAAAACCAGTGAGACAGGCTCAGCGAAGGTTAAACCCATTGATGATGGAAGTGGTTAAAAAGGAGATCCTTAAACACCTGGATGTAGGCATTATTTTCGCTATCTCAGATAGTCCCTGGGTAAGCTCCGTTCAAGTAGTTCCAAAGAAGGCAGGAGTGACAGTAGAGGAAAACCAAGAAGACGAAATGGTCCCAATTAGGAAGCCTACGAGATGGCGCTAGTGCATTGATTATCGAAAATTGAAGTCCATAATAAAAAAAGACCACTTTTCCCTGCCCTTTATTGACCAAATGCTTGAAAGGTTGGCTGGTCGACTTTATTATTATTTTTTGGATAGCTTTTCAGGTTATTTCCAAATTGCTATAGCACCGGAGGACCAAGAAAAGATCACTTTCACCTGTCCATTTGGTACTTATGCTTACCGAAGAATGCCTTTCGAGCTTTGTAATGCCCCACCAACCTTCCAAAGATGTATGGTAAATATTTTCTCTGAATATGTAAAAAAGATTATTGAGGTATTAATGGATGATTTTAGTGTCTACGGTAATAGCTCTGATGAATGCCTCGATAATTTAGGTTTGATTTTGAAAAGATGGATAGAAACTAACTTAGTGCTCAATTGAAAAAAGTGTCACTTCATGGTAGAGTACGGTATAGTTCTAGAGCATGTGGTGTCAGCTAAAGGTATAGGGGTAGATAAAGCAAAGATAGATCTTATTTCTACTTTACCTTACCCCGTGAGTGTATGAGAGGTGCATTTCTATTTGGGTCATGCAGGATTTTATCGGAGATTCATCAAAAAATTTTCAAAAGTTAGAGCGCCGTTGTTCAAGTTATTGTAGAAGGAAGTGACCTTTGACTTCAACAATGAGTGCAAAATGGCGTTCGACAAACTGAAGGAACTTTTGACATCACCACCCGTCATTCAACCCCCAAATTGAAACCTCCCATTCAAGATAATGAGCTACGCAAATGACTATGCAGTGGAGGCTGTACTGGGGCAAAGGGTTGGCAAAACAACACATGCGATCTACTATGCATCAAAAGTTTTGAATGGAGCTTAGCTTAATTACTCTACCACTGAAAAAGAATTATTGGCTGTTGTTTTTGCCTTAGAAAAGTTTAGGTCTTATTTATTGTGTGCGAAAGAAATAATTTTTTCTGATCATGCAACATTGCGGTACTTGTTGACCAAGAAGGATGCAAAACCAAGGTTAATTAGATGGATTCTGCTGCTCCAAAAATTCGACTTGAAGATTCGAGATAAGAAGGGGGTGGAGAATCTAGCTGTTGATCACTTGAGCCGTTTGCTCACGGCTAAGGAGGATCTCCCACTGAGGGAGACTTTTTCCGAAGAACTATTACTTTTTGTTAATTTTTCTATTACTTGGATTGCTGATATTGTAAACTTTTTAGTGACCAATCAAGTACCTGCAGGTTGGCCAAAGGTTAAGAGGGACAAATTGAAAAGTGATGCTACGTATTATATTTGGGATGACCCCTACCTTTGGAAGTAATGTTCGGATCAGGTGTTAAAACGGTGTGTAAGTGCACATGAATTTCATTCTATACTCATTTTTTGTCATTCTTTTGCATGTGGAGGACACTTTGGACCTAAGAAAATAGCTCGTAAAGTGTTAGAAAGTGGCTTCTACTAGCCTACCCTTTTTAAAGATGCATATTTATTCTGCAAGTCTTGTGATAGATGCCAAAGGGTAGGGAATATTTCGCGTAGAGATCAAATGCCTCAAACTCCTATGCTTTTTGTTGAAATTTTTTATGTTTAGGGTATAGATTTTATGGGTCCTTTTTTCTCATCCTATGGTTTCTTATATATCTTGCTTGCTGTTGACTATGTATCCAAATGCGTGGAGGCGAAAGCCACCCGAACTAATGATTCTAAAGTGGTTGCAGAGTTTATTAAATCTAACATCTTTGTTCACTTTGGAATGCCAAGAGCTATGGTGAGTGATAGGGGAACACATTTTTACAACAAGACAATTGCTACTTTATTCTGCAAATATGATGCGCTCCATAAGGTATCCACATCTTACTACCCGCAGACGAATGGTCAAGTTGAAGTGTCAAATAGAGAGATTAAATTGATTTTGGAGAAGATGGTTTGTCCGGACAGGAAAGATTGGAGTTCAAGACTGGAATATGCACTATGGGCGTATCGAACAGCATACAAAACTCCAATTAGGATGTCACTCTATTCATTAGTATTTGAGAAGCCATGCCACATCCCAGAGGAATTTGAGCATAGGGCATTCTGGGCGATTAAACAGTACAATATGGATCTCAAGGAAGTCGGAGTGCATAGGAAGCTTCAATGCAGGAGTTGGAAGTCTTGAGGAATGAAACTTATGAGAATGCACTCATTTATATGGAGAAAAGAAGAATTTTTAATGATCAACAAGTCTCGAGAAAAGCGTTTGTGGTTGGGCAAAAAGTTCTTTATCACTCGAGGCTAAATTTTTCCCAGGTAAGTTGCGTTCTTGGTGGATTGGTCCGTTTCAAGCCACTAATATTTTTTATTTTAGTATAGTCAAGATCCAAAGTTTAAAGATAGAAAAAAAATTCGTGGTGAATGGCCATCGTTTGAAACATTATCATGAAGGATTTTCCATTGAGGAAATCGAGTTCATGCAACTCGAGGATCCAATTTATTCTGCTTAAAAGTTCTGACCAAGTCTAACCAAAGACATTAAAGAAAGGCGCTGTTTGGGAGGCAATTCAAGGCTCTTTGTTTTGGTTTTCTTATATTTCTGGAGTTTTTGTTAAGTGCTAGTTGCGTTTAATGATTTGTTGTTTTTGTGGCAGGAAGCTGGTAGTTAAGCGTGCCTGCGTCTAGTGGTCACGCCTAAGGATGAAATTTCTAATTAGACAGACAGAAAACTATCCACTAGTTAGGCGTGCCCACATCAGGTGGTCACACTTAAGTAATTCAATTTTCGAAAGTTAGTCAGAAGACTCTCTAATAGTTAGACGTGCCCACGTCAGGTAGTCACGCTTAAGGAACTCAATTTCTGAGGGTTGGTCAGAAGACTCGATGGCAGTTAGACGTGCCCACGTCTAACGCAGTGGTTTCTAAAAAAAAAAGATGAAAGGATGAAATTGCCCTCTCTTATTTCGAAAAAAAAACCCCCCACGATTGCCCTATTCTTTTTCTTTCTTATTCTCTTTCTTTTTCTTTCTTTCTTTCTTCACTTTTTCTCCCTTTCCGCTGCTATCTTCCCCCACCGAAATCGTCGTGCCGCGTAGCCGTCGTTGCCTGCCCATTCGTCATCGCCGTATCGTGCGTCGCTCGTCCTCGCCGCTACCCTGCAGCCAACCGCGCGACCGCGACCCTCCTCGCGACCGCCGCCAACCGCGCCTTCACACTCACTGCCCGTTGGTCGCGCGCTACCCTCGCACTGCCACCATCCGTGGCCATCTCATACAGAGTCGTCGCCGCTACCACTCGCCGCTCGCTAGCGCCTCCGCCGTAGCAGCGTGCCGACCGCACTGCCACTGCTAAGGGTGGCAATCGAGTCCAAATCAGATTGATGGGTCAGGTTAAGATCCGGATATAATAAAAAATTCGCTGATCCGAACTTGACCCGCCAACCCGAAACGGGTCAGGTATGAATCCGAAAATTTCGGTTGGCGAGTCGACCCGAAATGACCTGAAACTTAATTTTAATTTATTAATTTATCACTGCAATTTCTAATAAAATCAATTTCGCATAAAACTAATTACATAATCAAGTAATAAATTTTTAATAAATAACCCCAAATCAAATCTAAAATAAATTAAAACACCGTAAAAGGGTTTAATCCCAAACCAAATATAAAATAAATTAAAACAATATAAAAGTAAAAAATAATATAATAAATTATTTGTCCAAATATAATAATTTCAACTTCACACAAGTTAAATAAATTCATTTAGGATTAAGTGATTAATACCTTTGAAAAAAAAGAATAACTTAATTTAGTTAGATAAAATTATTTTTATATTTATTAAATTATTTTTAATTCGTAAACGGGTTATCGGGTCATATCAGATCACTTAAGAATTGATCCGAATTCAGCCCTTTTTTTTCGGATTCGATCCAATTCTGACCCGAACCCGCAAAATCTCAACCCAAATCCATTAATTTGGTGTTAGGTTCGTGTTGTGTTTTCAGGTCGTGTCGAAAATTGCCACCCCTTATCAGCTGCCGCGCACTGCTCTTCATTCTGCCGCTGACGCTGCCGTTTCACACTTCGCCGTCCGTGACCGACGCGGCTGCTGCCGTCCCTTATTGCAGTTCATCGCGTTGCTTCCCCGCCGCCACCGCTGTCGTCGCGCCGTACCCTTGCCTGCTCTCAAATTTTAGTTATTTCTTTCCATACTTTTCTCTTTTGTTAGCTGAGATCAGAGACATTGTTTGGTAGCTGATGACAGATATTTTGTGATTATTTGGGTTGCTTTGAATCCGTATTTTACTACCTTTTCTGTTGTATGTTTAATTTCATATGCGAGTTCAATGTGTTTGGGGATTTTGCTGTGAAACTTGGAAATTGGCAGATTTTGATTGCTCTGACTTGGGTTCTGACTTGCGCACTTAGTACTCCACCCATAGCTAATGTTATCCATTGGTTTAGGGGTGTGACCTTGACTTCTTGTTTCTTTTTTAATCCATGAACCCCAAATGCCGAAAAAACATTCTAAAAAGCAATCCACAACCAGTACTTCTTCCCCACAACCCACTATTCCTTTGAGTGGACCTTCCTAAGCAACTGCTTCGGGTGGTCTCCGATCCCGCCTTGGGACGAATAGGGAGGTTCACCTCTCCTCCCCGACCCACTTTGGGGGGTATTTGACCTTCATTAAGACAGTTGATAAGAAATGGTATGCCACTGCTTGTACAAGAAAAATTATTCCTTGTAAATTCATCCATGGCCCCACACTCGACATTTTGAATATTAGGGATGAGGTCACTAGGAGAATAGCTGCCATTGGTTGGACCAATTATGCTTCTATTGTTCTGCCTGCTTTTACTGAGTTAACGTGGGAATTTTATGCCACTTTTGAGTTCAACATACCTGATAAATTTTCTGTTACGACTTCTGATGTAGTTCGTTTTCGATTGATGGGTAAGGAATTCAAACAGTCCATCACTCAATTCAATTTAGCTTTTGATTTTATTGATGTCCCTTATTCTCAATCTACTGAATATATGGAGAGTGCCTATGAATACATTGAACCCTTTTTCTCCCATAACACTAGCTACTGGAAGGATTTGTCGGTTGATATCCAATCTTATGATCCTAGCCAGTCTTAAGCCCCATACCTAAAGAACCCCGTTTTTTGTTATTTTCACCGTTTCATGGCTTATAGTTTCTCGGATAGGAATGACAGTTCAGGTACTTTGACAAAAGCCGAGTTCTTTTTTATTTGGTGTATGGTTGCTGAAATTAAAGTTAAATTGGGATGCTGGTTTGCTTCTCACCTCCGGACTGTCTTGAGCAAGAAAAATAAGCCATTAATCCTGGGTTCTTATATCACTCAATTGGCCGTTAATCTTGGAGTTTTGGATTTGAATAATCATAATCTGCATTTGGCTTGTACTATGGAACCTTTTGATTTGGTTTGTTTGGAGAAAACAGGTTTAGTTCAGCAGGTCCACGGTGTTTTCTAGTTCGCTCCCCCAGGTCTGATCCAGCTCCCACCAATGCGGAAAGCTTCCAAAACTACCGCCTCTCAGACTGGCGGTACTTCTACTGATGCTCCCGGTCGTTCGACTTCCACACCCCTGCCATCATCTTTCGAAGAGAGGCATTCATCAGATCTCCGCTTCCAGTTACATTAGATGGATTCTGGAATGGAGCGGATCGAGCACTAAGTATCTTGTATGGCACAGAATTTGGCTCAGTATTTCAATCACGTGGACTTCCGTCCACCCGTTTCTTCGGAGCCTTAGTCCATTGGTACCCTCCTCCATATTCAGGAAAGTATTGTTGCCCCTTTACATCATTACCGTGTTCTTTACTGCTTATATTGGGAACAATGTAAGGTTTAGGTGTGAGAGAGGGTTAGCTATGCTTTTAGGTGTTGTTTTGCATTTTCTTTTCCTTATTAGTTTTTTATTTTAAACAATGATGAATGCAATTGAAATGCGAGTATGAATAGTGAAGTTCATGCCATTGGGTTTTCTACTTTTCTTGATGATGGAATTAATTGATGAATATGCTAGATTTGACATTAATTCCTGGCCACTTGTGAGATTGTTGGACCTGATTGCGAGCATTATACTCTATATTTTCCCTATTTTCGTTTGTTGAGTGGTTCACGCTCATGGTTTTATCATTCTAGAATTTACTTTGTTATACATGTCGAGATCACAATTTTGTTGAATTAGATGCATTAAAATGATGAGGGCACCTAGGATTGAACCATTTTTGACTTGCTCAAAAACCTACCTTTATTTTATCTACCTTTAGTGAGCCACGTTGAGCCTTTAACCCTTTTCTTTGTTTGATACCCTAATTGTTAGCCTAAGACGTCTTTTTAGACTTTCTCTTTGTACCTTTATGCTGGAGAAATGCTCAAACTTTATTGCATAAAAATTTGATGTACTATTTGCAAGACAAGGAATGAGAAAAGCAAGTGTAACAAGTTCATGTGTTTTCTGGAATATTTATGTCAGAAAAAAAAGAAGAAAAAAAAAGGAAGAGAAGAAACAAAAGAAAAAGAAAGTGAAAAACGTGTTGCAATGTGCTTTCGTGCATCATTCTTATGTTGTGACAAGTACCGACAATTACTTTCACTTGTTGGGTTGTTGATATGCTTTGGAGGTGCAAATTTGTAAGAACCTGAGCAATGAATTTTTGGACATTTTCTTTAACATTTTTACACTTTTAAATTCCTTTTTATCCTATCCCTTTACCTGAACCCCATTACAACCTTGTGAAGTCCCTTTGATTTGTGCAATTAATTCATAGTTAAGTGGTGGAGATATGATATATGAGCAAGCTTATGGTAATGTTGTCTTAGTGTGTCGATTTGATAGTAGTGGTATACCTTATATACTTTGGAGTGAATGAGTGCATATTAAATGTGAGAAATGTCAGTTTGATATATTCTGAGTTTGATGAAGTTGTTGGGGAATGTGGGGTACCTTTATTGGTATGAACTACTATGAATTGCTTGGTATCCTGATTGCGCTTCTGAGTTAGTATATGCTTGAGAACAAGCATAGTTTAGATGTGGGGGAGATTGATTGGGTTTAAAATATATGTTAATTTTATTAATATTTTCTCTCTCACGGGATTAGATATTTCACTAATTCATTGTTTTTGCTGGAATTTTGATAATTGGTGGTTA